GGACTGTGGGAAATGCAGACCACTCGGGCTCCTCTTGGACATTTCTTCTCACATCATTCAGTCTCTGCGTTACCCAACCATTCAGCCTCTGGCCCATGGGCAGTATTGAGTGATGGCAGAACCACTGACTGTTGTTACAATCCAACTTGGGGGCCATAATCAGTTTGGTGTGTGTGTGTGGGGGGGGTAGTCCTACCTGATGATGTTGAGTGTGCAGCACCTGTGGGAGAGGCAGGAGTTGAGACGACAGCAGGCAGAACTGTAATAAAGAAACACCTGTTAACAGTGAGTAACTGCTCATGATGGCTGGAGAGAGAAATCACCTGGGTTTCTCAAGATGAGGTTTGCCCTCAACTCTGAAGTGATCACTGCACACTTGGTGGAAAGGCCCAGTCACCCCTTGGCCACTGATCCTCGTCCCTTTAGCCTTCACCATCCCCATCCTGCCTTTCTCCCAAACTCAATGTCCAAGTGCAGGTCCTGGTTGTTTTGTGATCAAAATTATGTGGCCTAGTGTTCTGGACCATCAAGGCTCCCTGATACTGTCATTCTATTTATTTTCATTTTAAGTCTGCTTTATTACTGCCCTTTCACTGTGTCGTAAGTGTTCTCCAGCGGAAGATCTCCCGTGGCTTGCTGGACCCACATTCTCACCTGCTCTCCAGACGCCATATCTGGTCATGGGAATTACTGACAACAGCCATTTATTATTATTTTCTGTTCTGGATTTTTTGTTGAAATCGTGTGTTTTTTCAGTAATGGAGGGCATTTTGAATGAAATGAAAAAATAATTTTCTGAGCAATATGGATTTTGACACAATTACTGGGATAAATGTCTCAAGGGGACTCCGGTGCTGGGGTTTGTGGGACGAGAGCCATTTCTTTGGATTCACATGGTTATACAAGGCCCCACCAGATGATAGTATACACTGAAGTGGGATAGCAAGTTCCCACTAAACCCCAAAGGCTTAAAATGTAGTTGGGCACTATATGTCCCATAGACACTATATGTCCCATAGACACTATATGTCCCAGTGAAATATCATTGTCAGAAACTGGTCCCCAAAGAATGTTCACAGCCTAATCTCTGGAACCTGGGACTATATTAGGTTACATGACAAAGGGGAATTGATATTACCAATGTGTTGACCTTAAAATAGAGAGATTAGCCTGGACTATCGAGGCAGGCCCAAGGTAATCACATACGTGTTTAAAAATGAGGAAGGAGGCAGAAAGGGATCAGAGTCCGAAGGAGGTATGAAGATGCTATGCTGCTGATGTTGAAGAGGGAGAAATGGGGCCGCCCGAGGCATGCAGGCGACTTCCAGAAACTGGAAAAGACAGGAAAATAGGCTCTCCCCTGGAGCTTCCAGAAAGACTTCAGCCCTGGGACACCTTGGTTTTAGCCCAGTGATGCCCATGTTAGACGCCTGACCTCCAGGACTATGAGACAGTAAATCGGTGTTGGACAATTTGTTGCAGCAGCAATAGGAAACTCAAGTAACAAGCAAATGTTTCGTGTGACCACGATGCTCCTTCCACAGAAAATTGAAGCATGTCATTTATAAAAATGGAGAGTTTGGGACTCTCAGAACCAAGCCGAAGCTTACGGATAATCCCAAAACTATGTTCAAAATGGTTTCCAATAGTTTTTCAATCTTTTTTTTTCAAGAAGTTAGTGAATCTGTTGGGTGACCCCTAAAAACCAGGTCTCCATAAACTCACACATAAGGGGCAGGTTATAATGAGCGCCTCAGTGAAATAGCAGTAAATCCTTCTAATTTACTTTTCTCCTCCAAGTAGATGAACACTCAGAACTGTCCCAAGGGAAAAAGCACAAAAAAACGTTCTCTTACCTGATAATACAGTTGCTGAATTTCCATCACCTATTGGCATAAATACATTGAAATGCTTCTTGTACGATTAAAAGGAATAACTTAGCCTTCTTCTTGGTTGTCAGCATATCTTTAATAATACTCTGCCATCGAGTCACATCCGACTCATAGCAACCCCTCCTTGGGTTTCCGAGGCAGTATCACTACAGAAGTAGATTGCCCAACCTTCCTTCTGAGGAGTGGCTGGTGGGTTTGAACCGCCAGCCTTCTGGTTAGCAGTCAGGTGCCTTAGGCACTGCGCCACCAGAGCTCCTTTAGGTCATGATAATTACAGCCCAGCAATTCCAATCAAGAACTTTTATTTTAAACAAAAGGAAAATTTGACAAAGTGAGCACTGATAACTGTACATTCAACATGAAAATACCTCCTACCTGGGGCCATCAGCAGTGACGCATCAGCGTTCTCTGGAGGGGGAGGGTTGAGAATTTAGGGACTGTTAGAAAGAGAAACCACTTAGGGCAGGCGGGGCAGCACCCCCACCCCAGCACACGGGTGCCCTCTAGTGGTGAAGCACATACGCTAGACACTGCACAAGTTGCAAAAACAATTCACGGAGATTTTTCTATAGACATGGTGGTAGACCTAACGCTTTAAAAAGGACTTTTCAGTGCCCAAAACCAAAACGAAGACACCAGCTAGGGAATGACCCTCGTGATTGAATGAAAATAAAGCCACTCCATGGGGAAGAAGAAAGTGGCCCAACAGCCTTTCAGCCTCACAGCGGGTCATCTGAATGTCATGAATACAGAAAGGGGAGAGAATGGCAGCCAATGGGATCCCTCCCACAGCGAGTCCATGTCCCCCTCAATGACCTTCCTGTTGCCTGTCCAGGTAGCTCAGGGAATGAAAAGTGTCATGCTGATAAAACACAAGTATGGACTTACCCAATGCAGGCTTTGAATGCTGAGACTCTGTTAATATGTGTGTGGGGGGAAAAGATCTGTTTAAAAAAGGGTAATTGTGTAGAGGTGCTTCAACTAAAAACAATTTTTTTAATGAAAGACTATGACTCCTCCAAAATCAAAATGCTGACTCTCCCTGCCTTAGTTCAGATGCTTTGATTAATCACCAAATGTACGAATATTAGCACAGGGTATCTAACTGTTCACACTCAACCCAGAGTGTCTGTGCTATTTTGACTGTACGAACACCAGAAAGCGGGCAGAAGGCGGCACACATGGCACAGTGAGGTGGGGCCCAGTGGCTTACAGAAAGGCTACTCTGATGGACTTCTCACTCAAAACCCCAACCAGAGCAAACAAAACCAAACCAAAGGTGGGGGGATGAAACAAAAGTAAATGAAAGCAAACCCAGACACACACATACAGTATTTGGATTGTTCAATTTGACTGAAAAGCTAGCTAATGACAGGTAGATACAGGCTTTCTCATTTAATCCAATTGGAGATGTTAGCAACCAAGCTCACTTCTCTGGACCCACAACATGATTTCCTTTATTCCCACTGGCACACAGATGCACGTCTCCAGCATCAGTCGTCAGGGAAATATTGGGCACAAGTAACTCAATGTCATTGAGTTGATCTCAACTCATAGCAAGCCTCCCCCTCTTGGGTTTCTGAGGCCATATCTCTATGGAAGTAGATTGCCCAATCTTCCTTCTGAGGAGTGGCTGGTGGGTTTGAAACCCCAGCCTTCTGGTTAGCAGTCGAATGCCTTAGGCACTATGCCACCAGAGGAGTTCATCTGATGTCTAGACCAGTGATTCTCAACTAAGTTTGGTTTTCCCCCCAAGGTGACATTGGGCAATATCAGGAGATAATTTTGGCTGTCACAACGTGTGTGTGTGTGTGTGTGTGTGTGTGTAATGTCTGGCATCAGTGGATAGAGGATCGAGGAGGGAGGCCAGGGCTGCTACCAAACATCCCACCAAGCACAGGACCAAAAAACCAAAAACCTACTGCCATCCAGTTGATTCCAACTCATAGAGACCCCCACTGGGTTCCCGAGGCTGTAAATCCTTACAGAAGTAGATTGCCCTGTCTTCCTTCTGCAGAATGGCTGGGGGGTTTGAACTGCCAGCCTTCTGGTTAACAGTCAGATGCCTTCGACACTGAGCTACCAGAGCTCTTTAAGCACAGGACAACTGCCTACAACAAAGAATTATCCATCCTTAAATGCCCTCAAGAGGAGCCCTGGTGGTGCAGTGTTACTCAGTTGCTAACTGAAAGGTCAATGGTTCAAACCCACCAGCTGCTTTGTGGGAGAAAGGTGAGGCAGTCAGCTTCCATAAAGATGACAGCCTTGGATTCCCTGTGGGGCAGTTCCACTCTGTCCTCTAGGGGCTCTATCAGTCGGAATTCACTCCAGGGCAGTGGGTGTGGTTTGGGCTTTGCTTCCTTGAAGACTGACAGCCTTGGAGACCCTGTGGGCAGTTCCACTCTGTCCTCTAGTGGCGCTGTGAGTCGAAATTCACTCCAGGACAGTGGGTAAGGTTTGGGCTTTGCTTCCTTGAAGACTGACAGCCTTGGAGACCCTCTGGAGCAGTTCTCCTCTGTTCTGGGGGGCTGTGTGTCATAAGCGACTCCACGGCAGTGGGTTTGGAAATGCCAACAGTGCCGAGGTTGGGAAACCCTGCTCTGGACTGATTACGATCATTACTATTTAGCCAAAGAGTTATGATTAGCAAATCTGACCTAAACTCACAGCCCAAAACAAGACAAAGTCAGTGCTGCTGCAATTTATAAACTCATTTCCTCACTTTCCTTAGACTGTAGGTGTTTAGTGAGAAAGAACTTCATCGCTGAGTTCACCACAGTATTGTGAGGGAGGGTAGAACTCAGTAGGCGATTTAGGTTACCACTGACTAATGTCTTTGTCACCAGTTATTTGGAAATTCAATCCTTATAGTGGATCCACCATTTCTCCCACTGTTTTTCATCTGTACGAAATCCATTTAAATGTCTTGTGGTTAATAAATTCCTGAGCTCAAGTCTAAGTCCTCAAATGACCAATTGTCTTTTTGCTTTTGGTTCCTACGAGTGGTCAGAGGTGATCTGTAATGCATAGGTGCTTTGCTAATGGGATTAGCAGAGACACAATCTGGCTAACGCGATGTGCAAACCTGGAGGAGGAGGTAGCCCTTACCTGCACAGACAATGCTGGCATCTTCTCCAGGACCACAGTTATGGATAGACCAGCCTGCATGAGGGCACTGTCCCAGAAAACTCTCTCTTCCGATGCAATCCACATCATCCAGCACAAACTCGCCTGAGCCTTCACCAAAGTGGGCCTCCACAGGGGCTGCAAGGGCACGCCCACAGCCCAGCTGCCTGCACACCACATTGGCCTCATTCATGTCCCATTGGTCATCACACACCCTACCCCACTGGCCGTGATAGAAAACTTCCACACGTCCGGAACATTGGCCGGGTCCATCCACCAGTTGCAACTGTGGCCAGTCTTTTGAAGACACAGAAATGCTGCATGTTAGGAAAAGGAACATATTCTGTGTCGACCCATGTTAACCCCATGTTTAACCTTCAGCAGATACTTATTGAGCACATACTGGTCAAAGCAGACAGTACTGTGGGTCCTGTGGTTCACAGGACAGGCCTGGTGGTGGTTGTCACTGGGTTTACCTTTGAGGAAACTGGAGGAAGCAATCCATTCATCCAAATGTAAGTGTAGATTTACAATTGTAGGGAGTGCCAAGAATCAGAAGGGCCGTGGTATATAACATTTTAACAGTGCATAATTACAGAGAAGAGTCAAGGAAGTCTTCTCTTAAGAAAGTGATGATGGATCTGAGGCTTGGTAGAAGGACAGAAAGGAAGTAAATAGACTAAGAGGGGTGGAGAGGAGGCGAGAGCCTGCCAGTCAAAGGGAAAAGCATGTGCAAAGGGCCTGTGGCAGCAGGCCATGTGAAAAAATGACTAGCATAGCATGCTTTTGGAATACCTGGGGTTGGAGGAGGCCTCGGCTGCCAAAAATATATAACATGTGCTGTATATGCGTGAAGATATGGCAACCATCCTCTTCCTTCTTTTTCTTCACTCCCCCTTTACAGAAACCCAGTTTCACATAAGAGCAGCTGAAGGGGCCCATTACAGGAGATCAAGGGGCTATTCAGGGAAGAAGAGTGATGAGGAAGGTCTAGGTCTTACTGTATTTGCCATAAAATGCTTGAATATGTAAAAGCCAATTCTTCCCAGCTATGTACTAAGTTCCTTGTGGTTAAGAATCCTTTTCTTCTATAGCCTCTAGGATACTTAACGGGGCCCTGGGTGACATAAGTGGTTTGGGTTTAACTGCTAACCTAAAGGTTGGTGGTTCAAACCCACCCAGTGGCTCTGTGGAATAGAGGTCTGGCAATTTGCTTCTGTCAGGTTACAGGCAAGAAAACTCCATAGAAGTTCCACTCTGTAACACATGGGCTTGCCACAAGCCTGAATCAACTCAATGGCAATGGGTTTGGTGAAGTTGGGTTCAGGACGTGTAACAAAGACTTGGTACATTCTTTCCTTGAATGAACCCTTATCTTTTGGTGAATTCAGAATGTCCTGAGCCTATAATCAGTAAAGATGAAAAACCTCAAAAATGTTAAATGGCCAAAAACAATGACAATGAACTAGGACTCTGATAGTTACAATAAGGAGCACTGTTGAGCAGATGTAAAAGCATTATTTTAAACACTTCCATCACTTTTCATAGGTGTGAGCAAGCACCTAAAATAGAATCCCAGGAGACTAGCCAAGTTCCTCAGCACCTTCTTCTTGGTTTGGGAACAACCTCATGATGAGGCCTCTCTCACACCCCCCTCCCATCCATCTCTAGGGTTGCTGTTGTTCCCATCAAGTTGCTTCCAACTCCTGGCCAGTCACTTACAGCTCGTGGTGACCCATGTGTGCAGAGTACAATGGCTTCATCCTGGCCAGTCACTTACAGCTCGTGGTGACCCATGTGTGCAGAGTACAATGGCTTCATGGGGTTTTCAAGGCTGTGAACTTCTGGAAGCTCATCACCAGGCTTGTCTTCTGAGGCACCCTGGGTAGGTTCAAACCACCAACCTTTTGGCTGGTAGTCAGATGCTTTTCAGAGAACTCCTGTCTCTAGGGTTACTGTCCTTAAGTCCAGCACAGGCATGGCACCTCCCTACTCCATGGCTTTCAAGACTTCCATGTGTTTCTGACTTGAATTGATTTAACACAATAAACAGGAGAACCTGTCTAAAGGCTCAGCGCTGGGCAATATGAGGTGTTAAATAAGAAAAGAGAGAGGTTCTTATACTCTCTTAGCAGTCCAAATACCTTAGCCTGAAACTCAAACTGTGGTCTGGTCCAGAAAAAAAGGAAGCCCCAAACTGGTTCTCAAACATGGCCAAAGCTTTTCAGGCCCAAATCTTTAAACATTCTGAGGCTAGGACCTGGGATGTTTGCCTCATTCCCCATTTCATCTCTCAAAATGGTGGGTGGTCCTTCTCCAGGGGCCTTTCTTCACGGAGCTTTCTCTGATCCTCCAATGGATATCTCTCCCGCCTCTGAGTGTCCCTTGCATTTCATTTCTATTCCTCCTTTGGCACTCACCATACTCGTTGAGTTATTTTGTACAGCCTCTCCCTCTCCCATGAAATTATGGACACTATCATATCGGAAGGAAGGTTGGGCAATCCTACTTCCATAGTGATACTGCCTCGGAAACCCAAGGAGGGGTCGCTATGAGTCGGGGCCGACTCGATGGCACATAACAACAACAACAACATCATATTGTATCCCCAGTAGTGCCTACAAAGAGTCTGACACACAGTAGCAAATAATAGCTGGTGTTGAATGATGAGTGTTGTCTTTGTGATGGTCCCCAATGGGTTGAGAAAAAGCCAATATTTATGAGGGACAGGAATGCATAGAGTTTCCAAGTGAAATCATTTTGTTTGGAAGTAACTGAAGGGTTGGTGATCTACCTACCACACGACCCAGAAGCCACATCAACTTACCACCAGGAAATGGTGTTAGGATTTCAGCATCTAAGAGCAGAGAGAAATAAATGAGATGTGATTGCCATGCAGGATAGTCAGCCCAAGTTTATTGGGGGAGGGCCAGCATGCATGTGGTGGCCTCAAGAAGCAGAAGCTGAGCTAAGGGCACTCTTTGGGGGATATACTGGTCAGGTTCTTTCTGATCAATGGCAAGGGAGCAATCGGCCATGAATTTGGGCAGCTCAGAGTCATGCACAGATGGCTCTTTCAAACTGTGCTATTTGAGTGGACCAACATACCTACTGCCAGAAAGGGAGGAAGCTGAGCTGGTCAAGTGCTAATCAGAGTGAATTCTTATGGTGTTTATAAAGGGACTTCAAAGAGCAGGGGGCGGAGGACTCAGATGAACAAGGAAGGGTGTGCCTCTCCCCATTCATCTTGAGTTTGCCATTTGGGAATGGAGAGGTGGAGGGTCCTCAGGCTACACACAAGATGCAAACAAAGAGAGGATTTTCTTTACTCCAACTTCATCTTTGAATGACAAGTTATTAAGCTGCATTTATATCTTCACTTCATATGTTTATATATTAAAACATAATTAGCCAACAGCAAGGAAACAGTTTGGGGAGAAAATATTTCCCGTGTAGTTAGAGGAAGGTGGTGGGGACGCTACTTGGTTTTCTCTCCTTGCTTAGTCTTTGTGGTTCACTCACAGTTTACTCTCCCCACCACTACCACCCTCAACCCCCACAATGAGTTCCTATTGGTCAACATAACCAGAGGACACAGAGCATTTGTGGATGTTCTCTTACCAAAATCTCCTGATGTCTCATATTCATTTTCTATGAGAAAGAAAAGAAAATTGAATGTAGCCTGAGTGTGTTGGGGCTGGTGAGAGTCTGGAATTCCCTGCACTTGCTTGAAGGATCAGCTGCTGCCCAGCTGCTGGGGGTCCAGTGAAAAACATCAGCCTAGAATTACCCTTATATGTGGTTATTCCAAGATGGTTGAAGGCATTGCAACGGTGGAAGGTATGTTGGCGTTCTCTGCATCTGGGCATCAGGCAAGGGGCTGGGGTGTGTGAGTATTGAGGAGGCTGAAGCAGGTAAGAAGACTGGGGTTGCTTGCAGGGCATCAAAGACAGCTCTGAACATTTCAGCCTGGTCTACGTTCAGGGCAATTTTTCCAGGGTGTAGGCCTGCCTGGTGGAGGGGACAGAGCACTGGGTGTAGAGGTCAGAGACCTGAATACTTGCTGTGTGACTTTGAACCTCTCTGAACTTCAGTTTCCTTATTTGCAAAATGGGGGTCATGAAACAAGGCTGTCCTGCGTTGTTGTAGTAATACTAGGATAGAAGGGGGAGATGGACAGACAGTGGCTGGCACCCTGGAAAGTGCTGCAGGGCCCCTGCAGTGGATGGCTCATGTCTGCTCCACCCCATCACCAGGCGGCTCTGCTGCTTCTGACCTTGACTGGCACATCCAGTAATTCATGGCAGTCCCCCGGGTCAGGGACGTTTTGTCCACTGCTGGGGGTCCCTGCCTGGTGTAAACGGTTCAGTGCTTAACTATTAACTTGAGGGTTTGTAGTTCGAACCCTAGAGGTCTCTTTCCGAAAGGTCACAGACTTGAAGACCGCAGGGAGTGCAGCTCTGCTCCACACTCATGGGGTCACCCTGAGTCAGAATCGCCTTGATGGCAGCTGTCTGATGTTTGTTGAAGGAATTGAATGCTTCACTCTTGGCCACTTGCTGACGGCTGAGACTCGGCTTCCTGGCATGTTGGGTTTGGGGGAGGAATGAGCTGGGGAGTGGGGGATACGTTTCCTCCCATCCCCCACAGTGGGCCACTGAGGAGCGGGGGTGGGGGCTCTTCTCCTTATGCACTCCCTGGCTCTAGATCTTGACCCATTGTCTAGAATTGGTTTATCAGAAACATGGTTGCTTTAGTCCCTAAGAGGTAGATTTCCTGAAAAAGCAGAAGTACTGGGCATAACATCGATAGTCTGCTTTTACAGCTCAGAAATGACAGGCTAATGTATCTGAATGATGGAAGTGTCTCATTCCACAGCAATGCTGTGAGGAGGGAGAAGAGGCATCATTAGTATTGTCAGAAGAGAGGGAGACCCTCAACGAGACGGATTGACACAGAGGCTACGACAATGGGCTCCAACAGCAACACTGTGAGGATGGTGCAGAACCAGGCAGCAGTCTGTCCACAGTGCCGAACAACAACAGTAACAATGATTATTATTACTACTGTTCCCATGTTGCTACATGATGTGTCAAAAGCCACATTAGCAGAAGGAGGAGGGATGTGGGTCAAGGGAGTGGTGGCAGGATGACAATCAGAGGGACAGCCTGGCAGCTTCCCCAGCACATTATC